CTCCCTTACTGATAATTCTTTGTCGCGAGCTATAGCAAAAATCTGTGAGAACCTCTCTCTCATGCTTTATCATCAATGGAAATGTATGACCAAAATCAACACTCTTCCTATCACCAACTCTCCATTTAATACACTTCTGCAATTTCTCTCTCCCATTACATTCTTCTTCCATAAACCTGTCCCATTGGGTCTAGGCGATCCCTTAAGGAATCTCCCCTCTACCCATGGTACCGAAGTTTGCCTCAATTATTCTCTTCCATAAACTGTCCCTGTCTTTCACAAATCGCTACAACCATTTCCCTTGCAAAGCTAGATTCATCTCGTACGTCGATCTCACCCCTAGACCTCCCTAGCTTAACGGTCTTTCAACTTTTATCTCACAACACTAAGTGGTACCTCCTCTTATCCTGTGAATAACCCCATAGAAATCTGCTCTGGATAATTTCAAGCTTTTTATCAACAATATGTTAAAGATTCTTTATGTTATCTATTTCTCTATTTGTTTTACCTTAGTCTATGGGTACTTTCACAAAATTGTACTGGCACAATTGTACTGTTTGACCACCTTACAATGTAGTATGACAAAAAAATTTCTCAGTTTCAAAATTAAAGGTGGATGTTATGAGTGGGCATCCAACTTACACCTCAGCATATTTTAAAATTAGAGAAAAAGCACATGTAATATGACAAAAATTAAAGGTGGACATCGAACTCCTTTAACAACTGATATATACAATAATTTCTTAGTACATCACCATGTACAATGAGGATGTTATGAGTGAGCAAGGGGCTGATTCAGTTAAGGGCCATACCTGTACCCTTCGAGGACCAAGTCCACAGATTTTCTCATAAGAAGCAAATAAAGGCTTAGCACATAGCTAAATATGTTGTTTGCAGTTTCATTCTTTATGTATTTTTAGTTATCAGTTGTATCCTACAGACGGTTATTTAAGACTGTCAGTTTTATGTTAGGTTTGAAATAATATAGTAATTTTTCCTATCCTTAAGTTGCAGTTCATATTCTTGAAGGCAGCAGTTATGATGTATTGCTATCATGATAGGACTAATAAGGTTAATTTGTCCAATTAAGACTTTTTGGATGAAAACCTAAACATCAAACTTAGAGTTTCTTAGATGTCACATCTAAGAAGTTCTAAGCATTATACTCAAGAGTTTAATTTTATCAATATTATGATACAGAAAAAAGTAGGCGTAGGACCCATGAGAGTAGCAAAGCAAAAGAGTTTGAGTCTATTCAGTAGGAAGTTGATTTCTTTAAGGAATTAATAAGAGTTAGAATTATTTAAGGATTTCTTTTTCAGTAAGAGCTAGAATGATTTAAGGATTTCTATAAAGTATTTTAGATTTAGATATAGATTTAGATTAGGAATTAAAAAAAAAAGTAGGATTATAGTTCCTAGAACTATAATTAGATTTAGATTAGGATTTGGAATAAAATATGGTTTCTAAAATTGCAATAGGGCTCTAGTTCAATTAGCTTTCATAACAAAATCATCAAGCAATTAATCCAAAAAGTTATCTCTAAAAGATCAGATATTCTCTTACAGGAGCCTCAAAATAGGCCTGCAAGGCTGGAAAATCCAGAAGCAAGCAGCTTACTTGCTTTAGAATTTCACACTAGCAGGTTCTGTGACCAGATCCAGAGCCCAGACT